TTTTTCATCTCTTGGCCAAAGCTGAAATAAACGTCTTGACGTACTGCCTCAGGACTGCATTGCTGCTCTCTATCAGTCCCTGGGGTTGTCCGATGGAGCAGAGTTTTCTGCAGAGGACGTGAGTCTCCTCTACCTCAAAGTGTGTCATGCTCCCTCCAGCACCAGTGAGGCACATGCAGCCATGAAAAAGGTAACAATTCAGACAAGTTTAGCAATGTCACCATTTGATTAGCCAGAGTTTTTAATTGAAGCTATGTTTCAGATAGCAGGAGGTGACAGTAGCTGGTCCTGTACTGGTAGAAATGTTTTGGATGTACTTTTGGAAATGGAAAGAGAGAGAGAAAGGAAGGAAATGGTAAAACCAGCTTTTTCTTTTTTATAAGAAATGTGACAGCATCCTACAAAAACATAGAAATCTTATGTTTGTCACTCACAAATGATATTACTTTTCACAGCAATATTGGAACTCACGGCTACTTGATGCGGGGAATCTTCATCACACAAAAAATGATGTTCAACAAAACAGAGAACATGATCATTTCATAAAAGCAAGCCCCTCTGAATTTGAATCCTTTCAGCCATTCACAATTGAAACAGATAAATCCAAAGTGAGTAGCTACAGAGTAAAAAAAGTTTCTCATTTTCTGAATTGTTATTGACATTATTTTGCTGTCCAAATTGGGGGGACTGGTGGGAAAACAGGAGTACCGTGACAGAGCGAGGAAGACGAGGAGGCTAAAGAAAGCAGCCAAGCAGTGCTGGGTCCGGTGAGCATGTTTTAGCTTGCTTGACAACTTAAACGGCCATAAAGGAATATTTCCCTTTGGTAATGTTAACATATGTACGACATAACAGTTGTTAGACAATTAAGTTATCTTAAAGGCACAAAATGAATGGATTATGGAGTAATTTCAGTTGACACGTGTTAGTTTTTTTTTTTTAAATATGAGTGTTTGAACAATACATATATTACTCAGATAAATTAAACAATGAATAGCTGAGGCTACTGATCATATAAGTCCAAGTCATTAAACACTGTATCTTTAGCAAGAAATACATAAACATAGAATAACCTAAACCTTTAAAAAAATTTATTAAAGCTCATTGTGACATGAATTTGGTGTTATAGAGTCATGTCTAATTGGAAACAAACATTTTACAAACATTTTACACTGTCCAAAGTAAATCTTTACTGTTTTTTACTATTTTTTTTACTGCTGAAGTATATTTTTTACTGTAATAATGTGTTTACGTTTCTCATTAGATTAGCATCACAGGGGGTGCAAAGCATATTGCCTTCTCACTCACAGGACCAAAGGTTTGGCACTGGAGATCAGGCATGGGGCTACGTCTCCTTATCAGACATCCTCCTATTAGTGGCATTCAAGTATGATGTGGTGACCCACTTACTTTATACAGAAATGCTTCAGGAGCACTACAGTAAGGGCATGTTACTCTGACCTTACAGTGTAATACCAAAAATGTCATCTTAACATTGGAGTGCAGCTTAGTCAGCAGGGTGCTCCAGATGTGTTCCTGTTTCTGTTCTTTTTTTGGTGATTTTTTTTTTCAGCTGAGCATGTTTGGGATACACTTTTGCCATGGCAACAGTATATGGAAGTGGAAGTGCTGGAGGATCTTGCAGAGGAAGCTCTGGAGTCTGTTGACATGCTCCGCTTGGCTATGCTGCCCGGGGCGTTCAGGATATACAAGTAACACACACGTACTTTGTGTATTTAAAATCTGCCTCCAGTCAAAACCGCATCTGCAATATTTGCTATGCTACTTGGAAACTACGCAGGCAATGTGTTTTGCCTCTTAGACAACTCTCTGCTGTGTGAAAAATATAAAACAAATCAACTCTACGTACCACTCTTACAATCTTCACTGAGAATATAACTTCAACTACAACAGAAGAGGCCAGTGGTCCATATGTTATTCATTAAGGCAGGAAAGAAAGACCCTGTAGGTAAAAGAGGTTAATGAAAGCAATGTTTGCAAGAAGTCTGCTGTTATTAGTTTAGTTTTTGGTCTCCAACATAGTACTGTGTACTTCAACATGAGGATTATCTTTTTTGCATTTATGTTTCTACGACATAATTCCGTCTAAAGCTTTTGAAAATAACATGAATGTACTTAGCAGTAAAACTGGTGTATCAGTTTTGATGCATCACTGACCCGAGTAGCTTCTGTGTCTTGAGCTCTTCCTCTCAAAGATTTGGATAGACATCAGAAAATCCATCTGTTTGGCTTAAAGGGTTTACAGAATTTGATTAGATGGTTACATCTCAGACTAGAGCACCATGGCAAAATAAATAAATATTCTCCTTCAGGTCCTGTCTGGATACATCTTTGAAAAGCTGTGCAGATTTCGGGGAGCAGTCCTGGTCTGCGGTTTCATTCCTGAATGACTTGCACACATTTCGGCAACAAGAACAAAACACGCTGTCCGCCATGTGCCAGAGGTAAATTAGGAAAGGTCTACAGTTAAAGACTGACTTGTGAATTAACAGTATGCCAATAGATTATAAGTGAGTAAGTTGATTTCTTTTGTCTTCTTTTTCCTCTAGGATGCAGGGAGACACTCTGAAACTGCTGTTTCTCTACATCTGGCTCGCAACTCTGCGAGCACAGAGGGAGAAAATGTCCTACGGCGCTCTTCTGGCAGCACGACAGTCTTGGGACACGTGGTGAGACAGAAAACACACCGAAAATGACACGCACTCACAATTAAGTCTACATTTCTGGCCCCTGAAAACTCGTCTTCAGCCACACGCTGTTAGCCTCTCATCTCTCTGCTCAGGCCACAGGTGGTTGCTCCATGCAGAGCAGAACTGGCTGCTCTGCTGCTCCACGGCCAAAAGGAGGAGGAGGAGAAGGGGGGGAAAGATGACTTTGTGACACCACAGCAAGTACTGGCTGATGCAATTTCATTTATCATCTTTTTTCTTTTGAGTTGAAAATATAAAGAGAGAGCAGAGATTCTAATCAGTAACTTTTGACAGGATGCAGTAATAGTGCTGCTGGTCCTGAGTCAGGAGTTGGAGAGGAAGCACCTGGTCAAGTTGATACATGAGGTCTCCCTGGAGGATTTGGAAGTGTCAGGTTGCACAATGCCCCCCGATGATGGTATATGTTGTCATTTCTTTCTTCTGTGATTTGTTATTTAATAACTCTTTTTTAATTTGCATTCTCATTTCATTTTGCTGTTTCTCTAACAGTCAGTGAGCAAGAAGCTATGAAGGCCAGCTGTATTAAAAGGCTGAGGGAAATTAATACGTGGCAGAAGACACAACAGGGGAGTTCAACCCCTTCGAAGCAAACAAACTCTCAGACCCAAATGCTGGGCAAAGGGTCCCAAATTCAGCTGGGAGATGGTGCTCTGCTCCTTCTGACCCATCTAATGGAGCTTCAAGAGGTCCAAGCCTCGGCCTTACTGGAAGCCCTGGTGGACGGGGTGAGCCCCAACAACCACTGCATCCATTCAGAGCAAGGGTGCATGTAGTTCTGAGCAAATATATATGTAATAACAGATACCCATGTGCATTTCTTAGAATTCTCAACGTATCCAAGGCCTACGGGATAAATATGAAGATGAAATTAAAGCAGCGCGCTTCCCCAGCCTGCTCCACCTCCTGACCTCTGATCCCTCCCCAACCTCTTGTCCAATGCTGATTCCAAACTTGAATGAAAATAGTACCACTGAGCCGAGAATGTGTCAAACTGAAAATGGCAGATCAGCAGAAGCGACGGCGGCCGATTCAAACAAAAAGGCCGGCGTCGTGATGAATGAGGTCCAAACGGCAGATGGTTTGGACAGACACGATGTCTGTTCAGGTATGACAGTCAAAAACAGAAAGCACACACCAAGCTGAAAGTATATAAGTGATATACTGTGAATTCTCGCAGGTTGTGGAGCTGTCATAGAGGATCTGCCCTACTTGGAAATCCTGTGCGCTCCAGATGCACAGGGTGACGCTCACGATGGCCTCTCTGCAGAGGGAGATCCCACTGAAGAAGAAGAGGGCAGTGTGACCAACACCTCCCAGAGCTGTCAGAAACAAGGGTCTCTGATCACACTTGCGTGGAGCAAACGGCTCGAAACAGAAGCTGAACCCCAGCGTCAGGATGGTGAGAGCAGAAGGAACCAAATCCAGTCGACAGAATGTGAGCAAACAGTTCACAACCGAGATGGAGAAGAGTTGAACAGCAGAGCACACCATGACTCACCATCTGCAGATCAACAGAACAAAGCTATAGAACAGGTACCAGCACGTAGGCACACGGCAATATGGTGTCATTGTACCATTCATCTGATTATTCCCTCTTTCCATTATTAGATGATATTAAACAAAAGACCAAATGGTGATCAGTCTAATGAGAAAGAAGACTCATCAAAAAGTGATCAGGTATCAATGGTGGCAGACAGTCTGCAGAATGTGCAGCAACATCCTGTGGCTGACTCCTCAGAGCACGCTGGTCACCCCTGTTCTGAAACTTCCAATCACACGGCACCTAACGAGATGCCAGAGGTGGAAATGTGTCCAACTGAAGCTAAGCCTGAACAGTGGGGGTTCAGAGAGCCTGAGCTCTCGGACCGCGAGGAGCTGATCCCTTGTCAAGAATCAACAGTACGACGGTTGCTACATCTTCGAGAATGTGAGGTTTCGGTGACTAAATGTCACTCCTCATTCAACCAGCCTTCCTTTGTGTTGTAGGGAGACGGTAGTCTCTCAAAGGGTGCTGCCAAGAGGGTGTCCCCTCCGATGGAAAGAGAAGCGGTGTCTACAATGGAAAGGGAAAAAACAATGCGCAGCCTGGTGGACATGCAGAGAAAGGTTGAACAGAGACAGCAGAGAGACAGAGAGCGGCAGCTGCTCAGGGTGAGGGGTGTAGGCAGAGAGACATTTAAACCAAAATCCAGTGGCAGCTTCATTCTGCCTTTTTCTTTTTTTTTTTAAGGTTCAGGAGCGTCTGTCAATCATCCAGAACAGGAAGGCAGAAGAGGACCTACTGGGCCTTAACCACACAGACAGAATAAAGCAGCTCACACAAGATCTACCAACGGTAACTATGGGGTGCTGATGTGGCGCTGTACCGGGGGGCTCTGAATAATTACCGTTTTGTGGACTTTTTTTTGCTTCAGGAGGATAAGAGCCAGCAGAAAACTGTTGTCAGAGAGCGACTGGAGCAGCTCCGCAGAGAGCGCTCCTACATCATGCAGTCCAGAAGGGACAGGTACACGGCACTGCTTTGAGCCTGTCAGGGAACAATACTGATGTTGACCCTCTTTACGTCTGTCCTCTGCTCACTTTTTAGGAATACAGCAGGATTTAAGGAACTCCTGGCTCCAGTTACTCTGCATAGCAGCGTGGTAGATGAAGGATCAGATTGAAGCACACCTGTTTCAAGTTCTGGTGGGCTTAGAACATTCTGCGTACCCATCTGGTCACTAATACAACGATCTTCCAACACACGTCACTATGTAATAAATGGTTTTCCAAAGATACAGAGCTCCTCTCTGACATCATTTTTCAAACATCATGCAGAGCTGAAGGGATATTTTCTTAAACTGTATATGAAGGAAATCTAAAAGCTTTTCATCACACAAAATATCTATTTCCTAAATTATACAAAACAGATGTCAACAAATTTGTAGTTGTTTATTATACATCTTATCATTTTGACAACCATTAGCATCAACAATAATGTAATTTAACAATGACCTTTTTTTCGTGTGCACTTTCCCTCCCAAAATTACATACACAATGAACCATAGAGGTGCATGTAAACAGTCTAAAGTGGCTCCACTTACCCTCCTTCTTGTGAATATAACTTTTATCTGTTGCCTTTAAGTCATTTGTATAAGAAAAGGAGGTGAACATGACACCGCTGTAGACTTGAATACACCTATGGACTGGAACTTTATTTACAGGCAAATGGGGATGGGAATATTTGTAACAAGTCAAGGAACATATGTTTGGCTAACAACTCTGCAAAGGGAGGTTTTGTATAGTACAAAGGGTCTGGTTCAGATCCAGCAGTTTTCCAGCGAGACAGGAAGGTCTCTCAGTCTTGGTAAGTTGAGGGAAAATGAAGGAAGTAAACATTCAATTCTTTCCTTGTTAACTGACTATTTTTGGTGTCCACACTCACTGCACTTCAACGTAAAGCAGGGATGCAGGGATACCTACCACCCTTAAAAGCTACAACATTCTACAGCAGCTCAACCACACAATGAGCCACTGCACTGCACACATACCAAAAAAAACAAAAAAAAACAACAACGTGTGTCCTCAACTGCAATCAAGAGTATTTCACTTCAAGATCTGTGGTTTCAAAAACACTAACATTCACACTGACAAAAATAAAGAAGCTTCAATCTCAGACGAAAACAAACAAAAGACAAAAGCGTGTAGCCTTGGCAGACAGGTGCCAACCTCTGGGCTCTAATATAGTTTAGGTCTGACAGAGACCGAACGGAACCCTGAAATCCCATTTTCAACAAATGATAATTGTCCTAAGAGGAAGCTGCGGTTTAAATGTTTGCTTCTCTGTGCAGAGATGTGTCAACAGGGCACTCAAGTAGCAGTTACTTGGGAAAATTTAAATGGGTTTGGAAATACATTTCTCTGCAGTGACCACACTCTTCAGCAAGAAGCAGCATGCGCTTGTATGTGACTGACTACTCTACACCTTTTACAAGATATTTGACAATGCTCGCATTTTGTACACAGACTGGTGATTCTCACAGTAAGAAGTTAAAGTTAAAGATGAAAAGAGGGAGGTTCAAGTCAACCTCAGCCAGTGAACCTCTGAGAATGAGACTATTCCTTGCTGAAGACATCAATGAGCACTAAATTCCATAAACAAATGACACATCCTGGATCTCTCTGATTTATGGGCACCATGGAACTGAGGAGGGAGAATATTTGTGTTTGTGTATTTCTTTTCACTGGTGTAGTCAGAGAAAATGTGCGCTTATGTGCAACAAGTCTTGAATGGTGTTAGCAATGGAACTTGAAGGATGTTTCTCTAATTATGTTTTAATGTGTGCAAGTCTATGAGTCTTTCTATTGGTGTGCACACTGCACCCCTGGGCCATGATGGCCTCCTTCCTCATCAGAACTATCATTATAGGCCTCTCTCCTGGCTCCACCTCCAAAACCTTGACTCTTGTCAAAATCTGTTAGGTCTACTTCCTCTGCATCTGGTGCAATAACAGGATTGTCAGCACGAGCAGGCAGCAAGCACTCCAGGTCCTTTAAGAAAAAAATAAGAATGATAATCAGAAACCACAATTCAGATGAAATTGAGCCAAGAATGACATGTTTATGGTAACTCACATTCAGCTTTTCAGGACTAATCCAGTTGTTTTCTGGGAACTGAACATCAAACTTGATGTAAAGATCTCCCTTCTCAAAAGGGTTTCTGTACTGAGGCATCCCTTCTCCTTTCACCACTCGAATACAACCTGCCACACAGAGGTAACAAAGGTGTCCACATGGAATAAATATTGATGGATAAAGCCTTAGCTTCTTTGGAAGTTTAGGTGCAAACTGTTGGAAATCTGACATTGGATTAATCTCTAAGTGTTTAAATACACTAGCTTTTTTAATTGATGGGATACAATAAAAAAAATTAAACCACATTTATGTTTGAGATACCACATTTATAGCTGTAATAAAAATATATATATTATGCATAAAATTATTTTTAAAAATACCTTTTTTTTTTACAAAGCTAAGATAATGTTGTACATGAGATGAAAGCATTTGATTCATAAGGTTGAACATTAAATCAAATGTGGAACTGGACTCTTTACCTGGCTCAATGACTTTGCCAGGTGGGTATTTCACAAGCAGCTGCCGTCCATCTAGGTGAGTGACGGTCATCTGGAAGCCACATAGAGCCTCCACTAGACCAATACGCTGGACCATGTGGAGGTCACTGCCATCACGTCGGAACTCCTGTTTTAATTCGAAAACACAGTTTGTTACTTTCGGTCATCTCCTCTTAGCCTCTAAGTGATTACCTAATGGCGCCTCCACTAGTACCTACTCAGCAGGGCTTTACATGGTATTTTTGCATTTCCACTAGGGGCTGGGCCCACTGAGCAGTGACAACTTTAGCATCTACTTGGTCCATCGCAGCTAAATAGGGCCAACAGCAGATTTCCGTGCGCTGATGGGCCAAAGAGTCACATGATTAGATGGTGCCTCCATCAAATAAACCCCACCCATTTTCAAACATGACTAAAACACATGTCAGACTTCATTACTCCTGTGATCATAAACATTGTAAATGACCAATACAGGAAGCAACACGGCGGTCCAGTTGGATCCTAGTTGCCACAACGTTCTTTGTTGTTGTCTTGTGCTTGCATCGTGTATAAATTACATCTTTCTGCTCTTTCATAATCATTGATGGAAAACCACCAAAACAGTGTAGCTGAACCATGTAAGGCTGCGTTGGTACTAATGGAGGAGCGCCATAATTCCACTTTGCTGCAATACCAGAAACAGTCTGATTTGGAGTACCTCATGTTCTTTTTCCTGGAGAACCAGAACAATATCTCCGGGTTCCACACCTGGAGCCTGGTCAGCTTCCCCAGAGAATGTGATCTTCTGTCCATGTTTCATGCCTTTGTCCACGTGAACCTCCAGAAGTTTGGTTTCCTTACACACCTTTTGACCCTCACACTTTCTGCAGCGGTCCTTCTCATTTATCACCTCACCTGGAAAACCACACATTGATTCGATCTCTTGCGAGTAGATTTGTTTCTAATTGACCTTTGTCTATACTTTTATTCTTAGGGTTTGATGTGTGCGGACACATTACCTTCTCCATTGCAATCTGTGCAGACTGACTGCATCTGTTGAACCATTCCTGGGGCCAGTTGTCGAATCATGATCCTCATACCTCTTCCTCTGCATGCCACGCACTTTTGCACCGCTCCGGCCTTCCCACCCTGACTGAAAGTCAACAGTGAAGTAATAATTGGTTATTAAAAGAAGAATCTCACACTGATATTCCAAGACTCAAATTAAACAAGTATCAACTGGCCCATATCAAGATAATCCAATGGACCCAATCTACCAGCTCAAATTGACTTTGTCAAGTTACTCTGTTTGAAAAATAGAAATAAAGAAAAAATCTCTCAAAATGTCAAGCTTATTTGAAACTGTGGCCTATGAGAGGCTGCAAAACAGTCAAATGTCATCTCATCCTGTTTGACTAGTCTGCTGAGTTATCCATGAGAATAATATTTAAATATGCAGGTCCCAGTGCACCTAAGATACTCACACTGTCAGAAGCAAAAAGAAAGACATGAACAGAAATGTCCAGAAATTGAATTTATTTATTTGCGAGAGATATCTTATATTTTTCCCCAGATTTTGATTGATTTTTGGATTTAGTCTGAAAACCCAAAAGATTCTAGTTATCTGCTGAATTCTATCTTCACTGTGTGGAAACCAGGAAAGAATGACCATCACCAATGATAGATGCAGTTAAATCGCATGTAACGCTGTATAGCTTTGTGCGGCGTACATGTATGAACAAATAAACAACAATTTAATTGAGTCAACATCTCTCACTACTTTAAATGAAAGGTAACTGCCAAAAAAAGCATTTACAATATTCAAAGTACACTTTTTAATTACTGTAAATACAAACAGAGATTTAAACAACCTTATACCTTTAACACATACTATAAATGGGAAAAGCAGACTCACCCATTACAGGCCCCACACAACACATTCTTACTGAGCTGCAGTTTTGTGGTCTTGCCATTGTAAAGGTCTTCAAGGGAAACTCTGTGTGACAAAGGTTTGATCATTTATAAACATATTATTCAATTCACCAGAGCATCTAAAATACCTCAATATATAAAACTTACTTCAGAGGATGCACCATATCATCTCCTCTCCTCTTCCCTCCATTTCGCCCTCTTCCTTGTCCACCCATGAAGCCAAAGAGTCCTCCGCCAAATATGTGAGAAAAGATATCATCCATGCCAGGCCCTCCGCCTCCTCCCTCCCGTAGCCCTTGTTCTCCATATCGATCATAAAGCTCCTTCTTCTCCGGGTTTGTCAATACTTCATATGCAAAACTTATTTCTTTAAACTGGAAAGAAGAAAAAAATTATGAAAAGCAACTCAAGTTTGTTGCAGGACAAGAAAGAATTAATTCAGTACATCAAAATTAAAAGCCCTCTAACAAAGTTAAAAAAGGTAAATCCCAAACCTGTGTATCCTGAAAATTTAAGAGCAAACACTGAAAATGTATTTTTGTACTCTTGGGTGCACCTTGTACCGTTTTTCTAACACTTTTTGTCCCCGTCTCATCTTTTAGTTAATCTTACCTTGTCTCCTGCATCAGGGTTCTTGTCAGGATGATACTCTTTGGCCAATTTGCGGTAAGCCTGTAACCAACCAAAAAATAAACATGAGAAACTCAGATCTCAGCTGTCTTATAGTTATAATCCTCAGACAGACAATTACTTTAGTGCAATCACAGTAATAGATTGAGAGCTGCAGCCATACAAATTAGAGCACATCCAAAAGCGTAGCTGACAGCTAAAGCTACGCATTTTAAACAGATTTTAGACCCCATTTCCATTAACTGTGTGATGGTATGATGGTAGATAAGTGTTCATGATTAGGGACACGTGTTTATTTGATTCAGAGGTACATAATGGAATTTTGGAGTGGCCGCTGCCATCAAGGCAAAGGACTATGGACGACATAGTTTTGAACTACTTACAAAAACATGACTTCACAGGAACAGTGTGTGCTTTACTGGCCTGCTTGGAATCTAGTTTGGTCTGCTACTGAATATGTATAGTACATTATGAGAATGAGAAGGAGAGCACCACCATGAACTACTGGACAGCTGCAGCTAGTTTTGGCGAAATTGAACTTCAATGAACAATTATCAATAATAATCAGCAATAATGCAACAACAATGCATTATGTCATTATTTGTTGTGTTTTATTCTGCTATCATTTTTCACTGGGCACTTTAAACAATTGCTCACTACTTTAGTTGCATTTATTTTCACCCTGTATCGCAAGTTTTGCACATTAATTTCCTCTGGGATAAATAAATCTTTTAGAATTTTAAATGATCCTTCCTCCCTAAACCATAAGAATCTGCATTTAACGGGGAGATGGTGGTAACACAATGTTAAACATCTCCCATAGCATTTAGCCGGAATCAAATCCAATATTTTTCTAATCTAAAACACCCTAAAAATTTTCAGAAGCCACCAAAACATAATTTCCTCAGCATTGCAAATGGGGTCAACCTGACTTTACTGCACCTTAGTTTCTTTACCAGTTTCTATTTACAGATTTTGACTGCAGATTGTTTCCTTGAAATAGGAATTTACTCTTCAAGATTAAATCGTTTAACATTAAAAACATTTTTCAAACCACAAACTTTTGCTTAAGACTTTTGACGATTAATTTGCGCTGTCACTATGCAAATTTAATTAATCATAAAAGCATATACAGTATGCTTTCATGAAGCATAAAAGCATACAAGTGTAATGTATTGTCTAATATTTGAACATATACGGAATGTCTATAAAATTACACACACAATTACTTGTCTTTATATATGTACGTACAAAATTCTGTATCTGTATGGTTTACTCGAAAGATGACATAACTGTCAACTTGACACCAAATCACATCTTTATGGCATTCACCGAATTTGTATAACCAAACTTAGTGCGACAATGCGTAATACTAAAACCACTGAAAACACTGGAATGCAAAATTCTGCCCCAAATTAGCCAGATTATTCGCTTAGCTAACGTCGCTTCGCTGATGGGGACTATTTACTCGTATGTTCCATCTAGCCCTAATAGCCGGCAAACCCTGCTACTCGTGGTCGCTAATTTCTTTGGTGTATTATCTGGAAGGAAAATGAGTCCGATGACCACACAAATGAGTAAGTTCAAAAGACTAGCTGCGAATTACTACCGCAATCATATTTCGGAAACAACAACTTAAAAAATTGTATTGAAGTATTTACCTGCTTAGCATGCTAAGAAGTCCTTAGCCTAGCTGGAAATCAGTTAACTGAGCTAGCTAACCTCATTTAGCTTAATTCTAGGCCGTCTTCCACTCGTGACCTCTCGCCTTTATTCTTTTTCCCAATAAACCCTCAAAAATGTCATGGTCATTATAAAACATTCGTACCTTTTTAAGTTCATTTTCAGAGGCAGAAGGTGAAACTCCAAGGATGTCGTAAAGCCTAGTATCTGCAACGTTCGCCATCGTGCTAACCGGCTACCACAGAGAGACCTTCTGCGGAGAATTAGATGCGCGAGTGGCGGACTAACGCAGGGCTTGCCGGTTGGGGCTGTCCCTGGTTTTGCCAGATCCTTCTCACACACAAACACCCACCCACAAACACGTCAGGGGTTAACCAAACGATGGCAAACACTGCATCACTGCTTTCAAATTGAAATTTTTATCTTTTTATAAAACACTGACAAAGTTGTACATGCTAAATCTATACTTTTAAACCATGCTACGCTCTTTAAAAAAAAGTTAAATATAACAACTTAAATTTTAAGTTTGAATTGATTTAAATGTACAAAAGTTTCAACAGTGGGAAAAAGAAATTCTATTCTAAATTTAAAAAAAAAGAAAGGAAAAATAGTTTATTTGTGCTTAGTGTGACCATAAAAAATGTTTTTAGGGTTACAAAAAGTCTAAGATTTAGATAAAGTCTTGAAGTCTGAAACGTTTCAGCAGATCTTTGAATGATACTAGAATACACTGCATGGTCAAAGGTCTAGCAGACACAAAAAAAGCTTGTTTTTGTCACACAAACTTTAGTTTTGACAACAGTAGCCATGGCATTATCTGAATAAGGCAATGCAATGTCATAATTTCTGTCTAAACTTGTGCTTATTTTTTTAGACTGAGTTTGTTATTCAAGGCAGGAGAATTTGGCATACATACATCATAAATACACACATACAGATGTGAAGTTTTCTCAAGCACATTTAATTGGGGATGTATCTGTAATAACTTATATATCATGTCTCTCAACCACGCTTTGAGAGATGTTAATGTCATCTTTGAAATTGTCCTTGCTCTCAGGGAAGACCAAAAACTCGTTAAAAATCTGTCCATTCAGTGTATTTAGATATCCATTTGACCTAATTTTGTTGAACATTGTTGGACCTGAACCAAAAACATCCCCAGATGATAACGCTGCCCCCACAAGCTTGCTTAGCAGGCAGTTATACAATGAGCCAGCATTCCATTCACAATTCAAAATCTTTTATAAATAGAATTGTTTTTCTTTGTATAGCCTCACTAATAAATGCTTTTTTTAGGTTTACACAGCTCTTTCTTGAGTTCTCTTTACACTGAGAGTTGGTAATCCATTGGACTACCATTAGGATTTAACACTGATGTGAGTTCTGCTGCTTATTTTTTTGTGATTGGATATCACAAAAACATTCACTATCTTTCAGCACTTTCATCTCACCACATTTCTCTTCTTTTTTTTTGGGCCGGACAGTATTTGACATATATGTTGGACTGGGAGCGCCATCTTGTGAGGCGCATTGCGATTTATGATTTGAATTTTCGTTAAATAACTTCAATAAAGTGACTGAATCAACAACAAATACAGTTGAAATTAAATTATATTATAAAGATGTTCAAAACAACTATAAAAGGCTCAAACATAAAAAAGAGACCAAATTATTCAAAACTCAAAAGTACAAAATATCTATCTGTTTGCAAAGGCAGTTAGGAAAGTGACTAGGGGATTAAACTAATATAGACTACCTGCATATATTATAAATACAATTACTGTTGAGGAATATACACACTTACAAAGAGACTGATAAGAACACACTGTTGCCGTATCCACAAAATACTGCAGGTGCATTCTTTGTGTAAACCATCTCAAATTGATTTTAGATAGTCTTCTCACCTATGGGAAGTCAACACTGCAGTTTTGATTCAATCATTTGAGCATGATGCTGGCCCTTGAAATAAAGCACATCTCTCTAGGGCTGGTGGGGTGGGGTGCCCCAGTAGAGCTGCACGGCTAGCAACGCCCCTGGTGACAGCAAATAAACACACACTTCTGTTAACACTGTAAATCCTGGCTTTTGCAAAAACATATTTAGTGTTTGCTATTTTTTATTTAAAATGTGTTGAATTTTTCCAAGGTTGTTTTTTTGGCAGCCTGGAGTGAACAGGGAGCCTCCGCAGGCCAGCCTCCCGTGTAAATGACATTGCAGTCAGGAAAGGGTTGCATCGTTAAGCTAACAACGCAGTCATGAGCAGGCAGCAATGGGCCTCCTCCGCGTGACCTGAACGTCAAAAGTCGTGGAGTTGCTGTTCTCCAGCAAATAGATGGCGACTGGTGGAATTGCCCTGTAGAGGTAAGAGTCGCTGTTTTGTTTGTTTTTTGCGGAAAATGTGTCGCGCAAAATTAAGCCCGTGCCAATTGACTGGCTGTCAAGCCATCGGAGGACGGGCAGTGCGGGGTCTGGATGTGGACGTCGTTTCGCCCGGACCCACCGTAGCCCAGAGCCGCGACAGATAACTGACCTCTGTTAGCTGTTGATCTAAACGCAGTTCGGCTCCGGTACCACAAGAGTTGGTAGCGTTAGCACCGCAAGTGAGGCTTTGCTAGCGGGCTGCTGTGAGATTTGCATGCAAGGTAAGTGATAGACAGCGTCCATAAGCCTGTGAGACACAACAAAAAAACCAAAAGGGATTCATTTGCAGGGAATTTTATGGCCTCGCTTGTTGACAGTAATTCGCGTTGAAACGACGGTTCCCCTTCTACTGCCAGTGTCCGTTAATGGCTAACATTGACCGTCTCCAGCCGCTCACGGGACGCCCGACAGGCCTGTTAAAGCTGGGCATGTTGTATTACATTGAACCCTCCACCCCCCCAGACAGCTTTGGGAAATGGAAAACACTCATTCCCACCATACCAGAGCACCTGTTAAGCGTCAACACGTTCACTAAACTGGTGTGAGCACGAGCGCTCAGACATCGTTAACATGTACACAATATCGGTGATGCTCATAGAGGTAAGAGCTTATTTTTAAGCCCAATTTTACACCAGGAAACAATAACGTTGTTGTTATGGCGGGTTGCCACTGTTTGCATGGCCACGTTGTATCCTGTTTATAAGGGGCCACTTGTCTTAGTCCATGTTTATGTGGTCCTGTCTGCCTCATACTGTTTCAGCTGGGATCATCACCACACCTTGTCTCAAGTTTACGCTTTGTAGTAACACAGATGTCAGCAATTCAACACACAGTGGAGCTCCCTGACTTCAAGTATCACTTACTCAGCTTAAAGAGTCCCTCTGCATGAAGTTCTTTAGCTCCACATCATGTTTTTCAATCTCAAGTCAATATTAGCTAATTTAACAATAAGTCAGAGGCCTCTCGGAAAGCAAGCTGTGCAACATCAATGCACAAATGCACACAACTAAGTCGATTACAGATGCAATGCTTCCCGTTCCTTCCTGTGAGGGGTGGAAGCCCCCTTCCCACGCTTTGCCTAAATTGAATTCCTTTTTTGGTGTAAAAAAGGCAGAGGAGCATATTTCTTAAAAAATCTTATCGTCATATTTCCTGTTTGCCTTTGTTCTCTTGTTTCATGGGTTTGAAGGCTGTCTTCCCTGTTATGTCCAACGGAATAAGTGATGTGAGCCAGTGAATTTTCGGATACCCTCTGATGTTCAGTCCGAGCTGTGTCTGTATGGCAGATGTCTGTTTAGCAAGTTTCATCATCATCTGAGGATAAACTCCATGTCCAAATGTAAGCGCATTCACACAGACTGTCTGGTGGTATTTCTTTTCCCTCATAAACAATATAAAATCATGATTAAACTCTGTTGTCCTCTTCCAGTCAGCAGCTAAGCGTATGCTACAGTGACACCCACCATGTTTTGGAAGTTTGATTTGCACACATCCTCCCATCTGGAGGCTTTGCTGGACAAGGAGGATGTGACCCTCTCTGAGCTCATGGATGAGGAGGACATACTGCAGGAATGCAAGGCCCAAAACAGGAGGTGTGTTTATCGCTTACTTCTTGCTAGACTTGTCTTTTCATTTCAGTGTGAAGCCTCCACTTACTCGTGTTTCTTCTTTGTGGCTTTGAAGACTGCTCCTGTTCTTGTGTCAGGATGAGTGCATGCAGGAGCTGGTCCGTATGATCACGACAGAGCCCCCTTCTGGTGCAGAGGAGACAAAGCGCTTCAAGTAGGTCCTGTGAGGAATATGCTGAGGTAGCAAGTTGCTCCCTGGGAAGATTGAATTTTGCTGGTTATGCACTATTATGCAGCTTACCAGTGACTTTGTAGAAGAGTGTAAAGCATAGTAGTCTCCATATTAAAAACACGCTTTACTAATTTACTAACCTATTTGCTTCTGTTTTTAAAATAGCAAAACAATATCCATTTTATTAATTTCTTAGGTCAAAATTATTTTTATTCAATTACACTCCCATTACAACTGTGCAGGTTTTAAGATGTTGTAGATATTATATTGTTGCTTTATTTTACGTGGTATAATGTTCTGTGCATTTGTTAAAGGTATCCAAATATAGCCTGTGAGCTGCTGACATGTGACGTGGGAGTGATCAACGATAAGCTGGGTAATGAGGAGCCTCTGCTGGAGACTCTGTATGCCTTCCTGGAGCAGCCATCCCCACTTAACCCACTCCTGGCCTCTTTCTTTAGCAAGACAATTGGGAACCTTATAACACGAAAGACTGAGCAGGTAATGCGAAAAGGATTTGGGTGACCCCTAATTCATGAACATATAGGTTTGTGACTGGATAGAAGCTGTATAAAGATGAAAGGTGACGTACACAATGACAATATACTTAGTTTTAATCAGGGCATCTCTCTGACGAAATGTTGTAGCTCTTTCAGACTTTCAGTGAGGCAGCTCACGACTTATCTTTCCAGAAGCAGCCACTCGTCACAGCTGCTGGCATAGATGTGACTGGCACTTGCCCCTTATCTCATCTCCCAATTTCTACATCCTAGATTCCTCTCTTTAATTTTGTCTTTACAAAACGTGTTCCCTCTTCCTGTATATGGGTGAAGCATGTGATGAACATTATAAACAAGTGTTAGTTCACAGCTTTTTCATCCCTCTATTTTTTGGTCACAGCAAAGGTTATACTTTCTGATTTAATGTCAGATCTTAAAAGCTTTTCTTTTCAACTGAAACTGTTTCAGTTGTACATCGATCTGCCAAAAATCTTCTTGTAGAGCGCAGTTTAAACTAAAAAGTAGAGTGGTTTAAAAATTCTGCTTTGGATTCTTCTTTTTCATGCATCGCTGTTTAATTTCCGTGTATTTTATGCAGGTGATTAATTTCCTGAGAGGAAAGGAGGGATTCCTTTCCTTGGTCCTGAAGCATATAGATACGTCAGCCATGATGGATGTCCTCCTACGTCTTATCAGCTGTGTGGAGCCGCCCCCACTTCGACTTGAGACTCTCATCGTATGTGACGGATAACATTTAGAATTTGTACCCAACCTCTGTTATTTGTATAAACTATATTTTAAACCAATCAGATCTTTTTGCACAGTTCAAGTATAAATATAGCTTTTCCTCAACAGTGGCTAAATGAACAGAAACTGGCCCAGAGACTCATAGAACTGATTCACCCTGAGAGAGATGAGGAGGTAAGACAGGACAACCTATTTTTTTGTATGAGTCATTGTGAAATTTATTTAAATAAAAAATATGTGAATATAAATGTATTTCACCTCAGCATAACCAAGACCAAAGCCCCGTGCTTCGAGTCACTGTCACTCTCAGAGTCCGGAGGGTTTACTCGACTGATTGTCTGTACACTTTGTTTTGGCTCACAGAGGCAGTCCAATGCATCCCAGACTTTGTGTGACATCATTCGTCTCAGCAGAGACCAGGCAGGTCAGCTTCAAGAGATTTCCCAGCCTGACCCTCTGCTTGCTGTGCTCGAATCGTAAGTCAGAGAGACGCACACGCGCGCTCACTTGCTCTGAGGCTGAAGCAGAGGCTGTAATGTTGTCCTTTGTGTGCCCACAGGCAGGAGTGTGTTGAACAGTTGTTGCAGAACATGTTCTCAGGAGACAGGACTGAAAGCTGTATCGTCAGTGGGATTCAAGTTCTTCTCACCTTGTTGGAAATACGGAGACCTGTGTGAGTGACAGACTTTGAATTAGTTTGAAATGTATAGCTCATATTTTCAAACTTAAAAAGGCCCTGTTACTTTTTTAGAACTTGGTATGAGGTCCAGATTGTTTAATCTCTCTCTCACTCCATTTCAAATGCATCAGATAAACTTTTTTTATTGTTTATAATATATTTTACTAAATGTTTACTTCATGTCTTTTTTTACAGGGTGGATGGTGTCATGGATGCTCAGGGATTTGAGAGGAGTTACACTGTCAACAGCAGTATTCTGTTGGCAATTCAGCCGCATCTGACACACTTCCACCAGCTTCTTCTGGAGCCACCCAAGGTAAAAGGAACAATGCTGAAAAACATCTGTCTGTTCTTTGCTTTGAATGGTGATAGTTGGTTAGTATATGGCACCTTTCAGAATTCTGCCAATCGGTGCTTATTGTCTTTAACAGTAGTCATAGTGTTCTGGTAAACCTGCTGACAATCTGAAGTATGTTCTCTCTCTTGTTTTCACCAAATTCATTTGCTTGTCTACTTTGAATACATATTCTACAAAGTTGGTGCCTTCTTCAAACAGAACTGCTTTTGTCTTTCCATTTTTAGCGAGAGCAAATGCTAACCACCCTGGGGGTGCTGGAGGAACCACTGGGGAACACACGTTTGCATGTAGCCAGATTAGTGGCCTCTTTGCTTTACACCAGCTCTGCTAGCCACGCGGTCGTAGCACAGGAACTCTGCAGACTCAACACCACGGACCTCCTTCTGGTCAGATCTCAGTTTTTTTCCCCATTTTCTAAAAGTATGGTGGCTGATGTTAAATGACCCTATGTCAACCGTTTGCTGATTTCAGAATTTGTTCTTCAAGTACACATGGAACAATTTTCTGCACCTCCAAGTGGAGCTTTGTGTCGCTGCCATCATTCGGCCCTGTGCCCATGAAATGAGACTTCAGCCTGGTTTGGGCTCACATGACAAATTCAAAACCGAGCAAGATGCTTCACAAGAACAGAATCAGGCTGAGGCTGCAACTCCTGAACCTTCAGCTGCCTCTGAGAACACTGTACATAACTTAATGGTGACTCATGTAAGTATCTCTGTTTGAGCTTAAGTGCCATTAAGTCGACTTAAGAGTACCAATTTAGTAGAAAAAAATCACTTGAGTGACTTCTTTGTCTCTTTTAAGTTATTCCAACACTGCCACCTTGTTCAGAGGATTCTGGAGGCTTGGGAAGAGAACGATAAAATTCAGTAAGAACCATTCAGATCTTGACATGATGCTGTTGCTGTCTATCGTGATAAAAAACTTTGTGAAACAAATTGTACAGGTCAGAAGGTGGTATGAGAAGGGGGTACATGGGACATCTTACCAGAATTGCCAACACAGTGCTTCACAACCTCGATAAAGGTCCGGTTCACTCCCAGATTAGTGGCCTTATTACAGGTAATATTTCAAGAAAGTGACATCTAAAACATGCATTCATATTTAGATATGGATCCAGATGTGGATGTAATAATGCTTCTGTTCTTGTGCTTTTGGATGCAGAGCTGCCAGAGGACTACAGGGGGCGCTGGGAAACGTTTGTGGAAAAAACATTGTCAGAAACTAACAGAAAGAACGCCATAGACTTGGTATGTCCTCTCTCTCACACACATCTTCATCTTCACATCTTATTATCATTAAACATAAATAACATTTTCTCTCCTTTTTAAATACTTGGATCAGGTAGGAACTGGAAACCCTCGACCGTCATCAGAAGATGATATGGAGAGTCCCTTCCCTAAAGAACTGACAATACAGCAGGTAAACACACACACAGACACACTAAAAACATAGAGGGACCTTTTTGTAAGCCATCATGTTCCAATTATTTTTTTGTTTATGTGTTTTTTAGGCTTTTTCTGACTATCAGATCCAGCAGATGACGGCTAACTTTGTGGATCAGTTTGGCTTCAATGATGAGGAGTTCACTGATCACGACGACAGCATTGGGTAGCAGAGCTTACACCGATGGCTTTGTGCTGCTGTGTTTACTTGAGCCTGATCTCACTGGGTTTTCTTGCTCGTGTTGCAGTACAACTTTTGATCGGATTGCAGCGATTAATATCAACATTGATGCCGGTCAAGACCACGTGAGTTCATCAAGGATTTTCTTTCACCCGTTTCTTTTAAAGTTGCCTTTGAACTGTCAGTGTTTGAACGTTTTCTTTGAGAATCTGTGCTGCTTTGATAGCAGTTGATGTTGGTATAAAGGGGGAGTTGGTGTGCGAAAATCCGGATGCTGCTTTTGCAGGCTAACACGGCTGTGTTTGAGGCCTGCTCCAAGGAGAGGATTCAGCCCTTTGATGATGATGAAGAGGACATCTGGGAAGATAAAGAAATCAACTATGCAACACAAACAAAGTCAAGGAACAGGTTGACACATTGATAGATGCATGAAGGCTCCTAATTTATAGAGATACTGAGGAGTTTTTTTGTTGTTGTTTGTTTTTCCAAGGTTTGGCGGGTCACGGTCCTCCCAAAGCCAAACAGCCAGTACGACTTGTGATAGGCCAGCAGCTTCCAGCCCAGACGTCCCTGACAGAGCTGAAGACTCTGATTCTGAGGAAGAAAACCCAAAAGAAGACCAGGATCCTTTCTCAAGTCAGGAAGAAACTAAAAGTGAGCTGTGTGTCTTTGCCATGCAGAGCTGCCTCATAAGTGTACTTTGCTAACATGGGGCACTCCTCTCTTTCAGCCAGTGGCTGGGTAGCAGATTTTGGGGAAGTGAACTCCAAGGCTCCCGCAGCGGGAGCGGGCTTTTCCCCCTGGGACGCACCAGTCTCCCAACCAGCTGCGACAGAGGGTGAAGAGAAGGGCTGGGCTAAGTTTGCTGACTTCCAGCCATTTTGTTGGTGAGTTTAGGCTTGATCTTATTATGAGAAACCTTTGATCCAGTTTTCACATCTGTCTGACCGTTTGTCCAACAGCTCAGAAACAGGACCGAGATGCAGTTCTCCAGTAGACTCGGAGCTCAGTGGATCTGAAGCCAACAAACCAAACCCAAACCGTGAGTTTTTACAGAGAAGGGCTGTCTAACACATAATACAAAATTCCTATATTTAGTTTTTGTCAAACTAAAAGCTAAAACGGTAGCTATGAATATAATGCAAATTCTAAGCTAAAAACCAAGTGTAAGCACTGATAGTTAAACACCCTATGTTTTTGCCTACTTTTGAATAAATTAGTCAAAGTAAAATTATGTTTTTTTTTCCCACCCCTTCAAGCCTGTGTGTGGAGTGCATGTGTGGCAAGAAAAGCCCCACTCGTGGCATCTGACAGCTCTTCCTCCAGTGGTTCCGACAGTGACGAGGAAGAGGGCAAAACAGAGTCCACATCCAGTGAAACGGTCACCACGGAGACCATCACCACCGGCGCTGGCAAGGAGACCATCCGGCTCACAATGGATGCCAAAAATGAGAGGGCAGTCTTCACCAGGTACACATGCTCACAGAGGCAGCTGCCTCCTATCTGCTGGGGTGTGTCCTCCCTGTTCTGTTGTAAAGTCAGTCTTTTTTGTAAGAGACCACCTTTCTCTCCTTTCCAAACTTATTCCCGTACTGTCTTACTTCTTCCTTCTTCACTTTTCCTGCAACGTCATCGTCCTACGTTTTGTTCCCTCCTTTCTCATCCCCCTCCTTGATTCCAGAGTATTCAGACCTGCGTTGAGACGGTATGTTGTGCTTGAGGGCCTATGCTGTGGAATGCTACCCTGATGGATTTAAGATGTTTTTGTTTGCTTGCTGCATTTCACAGGATGTGGAGTAACGATCCATCCCTTAAGCCAAAACTCAAGCCAGGTCAAATAATCCAAAAACATGTACTAACCTATAGCTCCTGCTTTGTCAGTGACCTACAGGACTGTCCATTTAGGGTTTTACACCAAAAAAAAGGCTATATATGGTGATGAACTATTACAGATTTTTTTCCCGTCATAGCATTGCTGTCACCAAAGTAAAAGTAATGTTTATTATTCAGAACTCCCCACCACTAACAGTCTAATCAGATGGCATGCTGCAAACAGAAGTTGCTACTGATGCAACATATCAACAATCTAACAGCCCTGTTCATTAAAAAGTTACTAACAGTGCCCCAACAAGCATGCTTCAGCTAATTAGATGAAACCTTTTAAACTTGGGTACATCCACTGCTCTGTCCACTGTGTGCTGACAGAATGAGTCCAGAGGATGCTGTGAGTACCACACCGTAATGACCAGAGTGGAAACAGCCCTAATGAGAGAACCAGCCACAGTGGAAACCAGCATTAGCACATTTTTACAACATGTTTGCACTGCCATTGTATTTTTTTTTTCAATATAGGTTCTCACAACTATATGTCTGTTCTTTTCTTTTTTTTGTCAGTGAAGCAGATAAGGTGTCAACAGAGGCACTGTCCATCAAAGACAAAGAGAAGGACCATGACGGCTCGATTACCGCCAGTCCCACTAACCAGTCACCTGCGGGCACACAGTGAGTGTATGTTTGTCTTTTCTGTTCACTGCTAAACCCTCTTCTTTAAAAATGTTGAAGTTAGATGTACCCATGCTAATTAGCGCATATAGGTTTCAAAGAACCACACTTATACATGTGCTTCTTGCTCTTAGTTGAATGGGAGCTCACTATCTTTGCTTATAGGACTAGAAATGTTTTACAGATCATTAAATTATTTTATTTATTTAAATAAAAAATTCACAGCCCTTTCAGAATGAATTGTTGACGTCTTTGATTGCATATAATCAAAGATTATAAAAATGTTTTAAAGTGAGTGTTGGCAGAAAAAACTAAAAGGGTCCATTTTTATTGTTCCCCTACAGAGAAATGCAGTCCTCTGCCAATGGACCGGCCTAACGATGGAGCACAGGAGCACATTCATACCTTTTTATTCAACACAACCCCTACCACTCTTGTTTCGTGTTATCAGCTCTCGAATACCCTTTTGTTGTATCTGAAGACATGTAAGTGGATGGAAAATGTTAAGTTGTGAGGACAGACGGCACTCATGCTGGAAAGCAGGAATCACCGTGGGTATTTTGATGTATCCACCTTCATTGACATAATTCTGAACTGAATTGCTTCAAGGAGAAATGTATGTTTTGTAGAACATTTTATTGTGCCAGAAAGCCAAAACCAAATTATGTTGCACACAAGCATTTCATGACCTTATTTAGGACACTTTCAGTCTGAAATGTGTCCGTTTGTTAAATTAATCATCCGAATTTGTAATCTCTGAAGCCAGGCTGCACTCTGGGCAAAAAAATCAAAGCCCATGTAATTTTTCTAGCACAGGATTTGACTGTTTACACTTTAGTAAAGAAAGCTGTATTGTAATTATCAGCCAAGATGCTTGCAAAGCTGGATAGTTGCCATTTTCATCACTGATGTCTCCAGCATTTCGAGTGCAGACATTTCATTAGTTCAGATGTGTGCGTGTGTGTGTGTGTATGTTGATGATTTATCATTTCCTCCTACATGTTTGTCAGTCAAGGAAGTTTTGTTTTTTTTGCCGTGTTCATTCTTGAACAGAAATGCTTTTATTGCTTGTCTAGAGCGTTCAGAGTCACAAGAGTCGTGTGTTGCTTCTTCATCCTAAAGATCCATATAGTTAGGAAGTCTGTGTGTTTTGCTTTTGTATTCATGTGTTTGTAGACGTGTGTGTGTGTGTGTGTGTGTGTGTGTACGTGCGTGTGTTCGGGCTCTGTCTGAGGTGCAGAGTGTATTCTCAGGTCAAAGGAGAAATATGTAGATGGAAAGAAAGCACACCTGTGTAACATATAAACACACACACAGACACACACACACAGAGCTCCATACACATATGTATAAACAGCCATATCCACAACACACGCAAAAAAAAAGAAAATGGTGACATGTATATGCCGGTTCATACCACCCTCAGAGCTGTTTAAATGTAATATTGTGAAATTTGAGCCTGTATTAGGTTGTGGTTATTGGTCATATGTAAACGTAATATAAATGTAAACAGTATATATAAACATTATATCTATTTTTGGAATAAATCCAGTGAATGGACAGAAGGTTGTTTTGCAGGTTGCAGTGCGTGTATCGTGCGTGCGTGTTGTACTTTTGAAAGAGGCAATAATGATGTCTGTTTGGGTGAATAGGCCAGCATCAGTTCCTGTTTCTTTGCCGCACACTTCCTACACGGAGGCACAGGAGCGAGAATATTGAGAATGTGTCAGCTGTGTTCTGTGAGGTTTACCTAAAGGATACTTCTTGTCGCTTAGAACTCGGGTCGTAAATTCTGTCTTTGGTTTTAACAAAGTGATGCCTGAGCTGATGTATATCCGCCAGAGCTGAACAGATTTCAGTGCAAAAAAATTACACTAACTAGTTGTAGCTGCTTTATTTAAAGCTTTGAAAACATTTCTAGGTTTTGGACTGTTGGCCAGACAAAATTAGCCATCTTGTGACATCATGTTCGGTTTGTGTCATAACACCAGCATGGGTGCATATGGGCCTAAATGTGTGTGTACTTGACAACATGGAGCTCAATAGTATCTGAAGTCAGATTTTGTGAAAGGAAGGTTTCTGTGTTGGGTTAATTTGGGCTCACACTAATCCTTCAGCCTTGAGTCTTATCATGTTGTGACCAACACTTAAGACAGAATGTTTATGGTAATCACATTTATACCAAAGGCTTCTCCGTTAGAAAGATGGGCCCTTGGTTAAGGGCCCATAAACAATCTTTCTTTGTTTTTGCTTCACATAGATTATTTTACTATGTTTCTTTTTTGTTTCTTTTTAAAGGCCTCTTTGAAACTAACAGACAACATTATTGTGACACGAGATGCCCTACATTACAGCCACTACTGAGCGGCTTTGTTAACACTAAGAAAGTAGCTGAACCTGCAAACTAACTCTGCAAGATAATGACTTGAGTTGGAAGGGTCTGAAAAATGTCCTAATTGTATGATTGCTCCTCTCTCTTCCGCTTTCAGGTTTTGTGACATTAACCTCCATTGTTTAATATCATTTGTCTTAATCATTACAAATCAAGTCTAAAACTAAACTAAAAAAACATGACCTGAGTTTTAAAAGACAACGATTGTCCTGTAAACTAGTAGAGGCAGACAGTCATGCTACATCTCTCTCCTGGTCATTCTCTTTCTCAGGGCAGGAGTTGACCTTAACTGCCTACAGATGATTTACATACATTGTCGTATTTATTTTAGGAGCACTTTTTCAAGCCGCAGTTATAGTTTGCACAGAATTATTTCCTCCAAGAGGTGAGAAAGTTTGACTTGATGGAGCAAATCATGTAGATACTTGATACTTCTTCTGTAATGCTTTCTGCCAAAGTGTGTCTTCCCACCAGTGTTTCAGCTGGGCTCCATAAATGTAAAGTAGCGTCCTCTCTCGCTGTGATCGTATGAGTCTTGAGTTAGCTAAAGAATTTTTTTCTTTTTCGTTATCCTTTCACCCTGTTTTTTTCCCCCCCAGTTTATAAGCAGTTGGCAAGGAAGCACTGAGTCAAAGACATCTGGATATAATCTAGGATAAGAGCTTTTTTTATTTAATCTGCTGAGCACTTTGAGCTGTCTGATATGCACATGGTGAGTTTCTCTTTTTTTTTTTTATCACGGTCGTGTACAGGGTTAGAAAATGTCATGCCCTCCTTCACCAAACTTAAACGCAGCATCTTAATGCGAGCCATCCTTCCCTTCGGGAGGAGTGTGTTGCTTGGGGTACACCAACAGGTACATTGCGATGCTATGCCTCATGGCATATGGTACAATACTGTAATCTTAAAGTGCCATTGAGTTTGCACATCACCTCTTTGGGTATGCGTTGTTATCGTTCAGTGTGCCCTGAACTCCAATCAAGAAACAATGGGTCTTAAATGTGAATTTGCCCATCGTTTGTTGCTTACATCGAGACAATTTCAAAGTTAAAAGTTGCTGTGTGTTTGTGTGCGTGCGTGCTCGGGGGGGTGGGGGGTAAAATGTGGGAGGAAGTGGTGAGAGAGATTGGATTGTCTGTGTGTGTGTGTGTGTGTTTTTTTCTGTTTTGGGGGAAAATGGACTGATGCTGGTGTTTTTTCTTTTTTTTTAGAGAGTAATGTGTCTGTTACCTGTCGTCAATTTAGCTTGTACATTCAGATATGAACCTAATAAACAAGTTACAAAAAAAAGATAGTACAAGTGTCTGGTTTTTCTCACACTTTGAGTCCACTGTAAAAAACAAAACAAAGAAAACACAGTGCAAACACAGACCTCGGGGCATAGGGGGCTCTATTATGTGAGCCACTATCCTCCCTCTTTGTGAAACCCTGCCTGAACATTGAGCTATCTGTCCCTCCAGTAAAATGGAACAGTAGTGAGGGTCCCTGTTTTGTCCTCAGACACATCTCATATTAACAGTATTATACATACATTTCTCGAGGGTGTGAGCTCTCATTCCACCTCGGTTTCTGTGTGTCTTTGCATTCCTCTGTAGTTTGGGGAACTGACACTGAACACACCTGTGTATGTTCCAGCTCTTTACATTCCCTCTTCTCTCCACCTTCCTCAATCCAGCCCACACAACCCCGTCTCCTGTACCTGGCTGCTCTCTGCGGGGATCGAGTACATGCAGAGCTGGCCCTGTGAGCTGTGACTGGGAGGGAGAAGAAGGCGGAGTCCAGTTTTGTACTTTTATGGGTTGTGGAGAAACCTGCCTGTCTGCCTAAAGCTGAGGGAGGAGGAGCCTGCGGGGTGTGGGACTCCAGACAAAGGAGGCATAAACACACTGACACTGGATCACTAAGACAAACTGAGGAGGAGGCGGTTGGAGGGCTTCACTTGGACCAGGTCCCCGAACAGTGGTCTGCTTTCAGCTGTGATTTGAAAAACTTTGTTGCCTGGGATTTGTGTGTGTTTGTTGGCTACATGGGCCTCTGCCCGAGCTGAGGGATGTTTGTTTTGCGGCTCAGTTTGACATATGCTGCCCATGGAGTGCAGAAGTGTGTGGGTTAGTGTGTTTGGGATGGAAAAGTGGAGCTGGCGCAGCAAACACCTTTGCTCTTAGCTTCAAGCAATGGGTTTGTGCCATAGTTACCCCTCGGCTACTAAGACAGACAGTCGGACTCCTCAGACCTCTGACATCAGAAATGAAAAACCGTAAGTTTTCTTTCAGAACTTTTTTTTTGTTGTTTTGCTCTTTTACCTTCCTCAAAAAGCAATGCTGCAGTGTGATTTTCCATCTCTATAACTCAGTTCTTTATTTCCTTCATGAGCTTAAACGTAAAACAGGAAGCTGCAGTTATAACTATAGAGGTACTAACATGATTTTAAAGCTTGTTGCATATGGTTCACTAAGGAATGTCCTCTAGATAAATGTCTGTGTGTGTGTGTGTTACATATTTAGCTGATGCCATCAGTGATTGTGAATTCCTCTTCCACCAGTAACACATGCTGACTAGCAGTCTCAGCCAATCTGAGGAAAGGCAGAGAAATGTGTTTTAGCTCAGTAACTTTGCAAATGTTTGCTCTCCTATGACCCTTTCACAGCCAGGAGAGCAGTTTATTTCACCATCGTAGCACCGTGGAGGTAAAGGTGACCAGATGTCCCAAATGCAGGACAGCAGGGTCACAGGGGAGTGTGTTTACAGACAAACACAACATCACAAGCAGCTCTGGGCTCATTACGTTTGTGTGCTGACAACTGGTGGCGGAGAGGCGGTAATTGAGCTAATACAGCGGAGCTGGCAAATAACAGGATGTTAACAGAAGAAGTTCCTGTGGACATTAGCAAAGTTTGGCATGTACTATTGTACAGCCAATGTTTACATTTTCACTGTCACCATTCCTTCCTCTATCTGCTCCTGGCGCTACCTTAGACAAAGACCTCCTGTTTAAATCATTAAACAAATGACTTCTGACCAACACACACACACATGCACCGTGGGGGGAGCGAAACCCCACAGAGAGCACAGTGTTTTCCTTATCGCAGTGGGCAAGGTCACACAGTGTAAACCGTCAGCTGCTGTGTGTGTGTGTGTGTGTGTGTGTGTGTGTGTGGACATCTAAAAAACTGTATGTGGCAGCTGTCTTATCCTCCACACTTTGAAATGTCCACTTTAATCCAGAGGCCTTCCTTGCGCACAGAGCTGGGAACTCTCCCTCTTATGGGCACACGGCCCTCACCGTCCTGCTTTTAATAAAGTCAAATCAAGTTGGCAGGTCGGACTCTCCAGGACATGTTGCCATTTGCATTTAGCATTCTCTACTTTCGCTCCAATTTTTGTTTTTACCAAAAGTTCTCACTGACCCATTATGAAGCTCTACCTGAAAACTTATACTGTGGGTGGGAGCTGATGCTGGAGAGTGACCAGCAGGCCTCTACGCTCTTGCTTACTCGTAGTCCTTTGGGTCATGTGCGGGGAGGCGCTGACCGATGCAGCAGCTGGCTTCATTAACAGTAATCACCCCGGCTCTGAATTGACTGCCTTCACTGCGTTTACAGCTCCAGGGTAGGCTCTGCGGGTCTGCTGCTACAGCAGTGTTTGTTTTTTTTCTACCTTGGCCTGTGCTTCTGTGGGAAGACAGATGAGAGTGCGTGTTATCTACCGACTGCAGCAAGAGCAATTAAGACACTGACCCACCGGTTGTTTTACACGGCCGCACATTTTCCGTCTCGCAGCGTTTCTCCCTCTGCTCCTGCTTCATTAACTCGCCACTGTCCTCCCAAGGGGGATCAATAACAACAATGGGGAGGTGCGTCCGTACCTGCAGCAGCAGCATGTGTGCCAGCAGATCACCTACGCAGACATGTTTACGCTCACGGCGCTGCCGCCCGGCATCGACAGGGCCGAGTGGCTGGCCAGCAACAGTAAGCACCAGCCGATTGCCGTTTTTTTTCCCATTTTCATCCGCTCTGTAGTCCCCCTCCCTCGCACACACGCAAACACAAGATGCGCAAGACTTAATGCCTGTCTTATTTATGTCTCTCAGCTGTGGCCTTTTTCAAGCACATAAACCTGTTCTCCAGCGCTCTGTCTGAGTTCTGTACGCCCAGCACCTGCCCCACCGCCTGTGGACCAGGCAACACGTAAGTTGCAGAGCAGTAAACTGCCCACTTCATTTAGAAGATGATAGGAAAAACTTCAATGAGGTTAATCCACCACTCTGAAGCATTATGACAGAACTGTGTCAAAGCAAACTAAGAAGGAGAATTGGACATTAGCGAGTTGTTCCTCTGAAGACATTTTAACGGTTTATATAGTAGGGAAATAACTTATTGTATATATATAACTCATTATTTTTGTTGCTTGGTCTAAACATGGACAGGTTTTTGTTTTGTTTTTTGTTTGAATGAAGTCTAGACATCATTAAGTAATCTTTGAATTGATGTTGTTTTAATTAAGAGCGATTTGATTTGGTCTACCTTTCCTTCTTTCCTGTCTTGTTAGAATCCCCCCTCTAACCAGATGTGTCTGAATAAATCAAGCCACATTTAGAAAGGTTCTGGAAAGTGTCCATTAGTCAACAACTGATGCAAATTCTTTCTTCAAACTAGTTGTCTGCCTTTTTGTGGGGATGCTCCATATTTCTTATCACACAAGGTTCATTTTCTTCTTCAAAAACTCTGCTTACAGCATCCCTGATGTCCAGCTTCGCTGTCATTTTCTCCACATTAATTATTTTGCTTGAATTTGAAACAACCGGAGTAATCTGCTGATTGGCCAGAAATACAATAACATTTGAAAAAGTGGATTTTTCTCTTCCAAGGTTCCTGTTCAGGTTTCTTTGACCCAAAGTTCCTGTTTTTATAGGCAACTAAAATTTCCTTTTGCTTGAAATTGGTTTATCTACTGAAAACATCAAACATAAAGTTTGGATTTTTACTCCCAGGAGTTACTGGCTTCCTAAAGGGTGACGCTTAATGATTGTGTACTGGTCTTATCAGGGTTTTCTTCTGGACTGACGACCACGGAAGGAAGCTGAAGTGCTCCGCTCCTCTTTACTTCGACTATGCCATGTCCTACATTCAGGAGCTACTGACTGATGAACAAGTGTTCCCAACAAAAGCAGGTAAAGCAATTATTGTCTCTGAGTTGCCTTGTCCTACATCCAACTCCAGTTTCGGCTATAAGACGCATATCTTTTCAAATTCTCTCTTCCCCAGGTTCTGTGTTTCCGGCAGGCTTCGTCTTTATGGTCCAGAAAGTGTTTTTGCTTTTGTTCAGGACTCTGGCTCACATTTACTGGTCTCATTACGATGAGACTCTCGCGCTTGGTCTGCACCCGCACCTCAACACTCTCTTCACACACTTCACACTCTTTTGCCGGCAGCACGCCCTGCTGGAGCCCGAAGACACCGAGCCCCTACAAGACCTCATCACTGCTCTGGGGCAACAAGGATGAACTTTTAGGGGAATGTACAGTCCTTAAAAACTCAAACATTTTCAGCTCTAGCTTATTTATTTGCCACAACTATATGAATAGTTGTTCAGTTAATGTGCCATTTATATTAAACCTGTATATTGCATGTTTTGCTATTTTTAAACTGCGGTGCATTGTTCTGTTTTGATAAGAAGAAATCCAAGCAGCCAAACAAACGTGGTGCCATCTCTGTATTTTAAAGATCTGCAAGAGCACAAAACTGTAACACGTTGATTCCTGTTCTATATGATCAAATCAGAATGGAAACGTTTTGCTGTATTTTCATATATGAGTCAGTGCTCTGTAATAAAAGTTTAATGTATGAGAGGCCCCTTGGGCCATAATTCAGTCTTGGTCTCACATATGATATCATAGTCACTCACACACACACCTCTAAACTATCAAACGTGTACTGTTCTGAGGTATGAATAAAGGAACTTTTATGCCGAACACTGATGTGATTATATCTAATTTAAGTGTCACATTCAGATACCATGATGTTATTGTTTAAAAGCCCTTTAAATTCATATGGGTTTTCTGTGGAAAAAATCTGAAGCATTACTAGTAAGCATAAGTTATTTCCAGCCCACAGAGAGGTTCTCTCTCACAAAACAGAGCGCATGGCACCACCTACAGGTCTGAAAAGAAAGAGGAGACTTAAGAATAAAAGGACAAATATCCATCCATCCATTGTCGTAACCGGTTATTCCCTAATGGGGTCACAGTATTGAATGGGCGAGAGGCGGTGTACACCCTGGACGGTCCACCAGTCCACAACTGCGCCACACAGAGACACACAAGTACGAACAAACACGCACACTCACTCCTAAGGGCAATTTGTCCAATCAACCTAACATGTAGGTTTTTGGACTGTGGGAGGAAGCCGGAGAACCCGGAGAGAACCCACACAGACACAGGAAGAACATGCAAACTCCACACGGAAAGGTCCTGGTTCCCCCGGGGACTAGAACCCAGAACCCTCTTCCTGTGTCCCAAAGGACATTTACTCATGAGGTAATGAATCAAAACTTTGTGAACTCATAATGCTTTTTTTTTTTATAGAACAGAAAAAAAACTACCGGTTAAATAAATGACCAACAGTGAGCAGTTAAATGGGAATAAAGGTTTTATTTATACCTCTTTGTAATAAGAAGATTACACTTGGGAGTGTTCTGTCCGACATCCAGATCCACTGTCTATATATTACTAACAAGGATTAATGGAAGGGGAAACTCTTTTTTTTATCGTAACCACCATTCCCTTCCTGACCAGTTTATGATTTCCATCTATGTGCCTGCAGGGAGAAGAAACACGATTATTGCTGTGTAAAGCTGTTTTCTACAGTTTTCCATCATGCTATGCTGTGTTACAGAACAACAATGATAACTTACTGTAGGTTTTACAACTAGATGATGGTATGTGTGTGAGAGCAAGTTTGAATAATTCTGGCTCAAGGGGACTCTCATATTTGAGACATATAGTATAATCATGCTACATTACCAGCATGTCTCCAGTTTTTTCTTTTGTAGAGCAGCACCACCTGATGGCACCAGTGGACTCTTGTATGTTTGTTGTCTGCCATCTCAGTCTGCAGATGTCGTACTAACACGTTTTAATATGCATCGAACCTTTTCAAGAGTTACAACAGAAAAGGCTCACTGTTAAAATACAAATGGCAAACCTGCAGGACCCTTGTTTCTAAACCATCTGAACCGCTTATCATTGCTGCAGTTAATTATACATAACCAGAAGGACCCTAAAAATAATTAAAAGCAAATAAGGAATGAATTTCCTTATTGAAGGGGTGAGAAAGAAATGTTCTCCCACTGAAATTAACATTTCCTAATGAAGATGTTATACCAGTGGAAGAAACTGGATTCAAAGTGAGAAAATATTAAGACCTAACAACCATTCCAGTTTCTGTTACCCCATGTCAGTCCTTTTTCTACATCTGCTTTTATGCAAATCAGTGTAACGGGGGTAAGGGGGTCGTTCCAGGCAATGATAAGGAAAGAGGCAGTTCACTCAGGCAAAGTGTCAAACTTGCTTGCAGTCACTCCTGAGATTGATTTAGAATCATCAATTAACCTAATGGATAGTGCCAACCATCAAATCCTATCTGCTGTACTCTGGGATGAAAAACCCAGTGGCTTCAGGTTATACAGCATAAGTGGACTTTCAGTTAACCTCTCATGATAGCTATAGTTTTAACTTAAATGAGTACAAATCAACACAAAATCAGTGCATTTAGGGGTTTGCATTGGGACCTAAAGCTATGGTGTTAACCAGCAGAGGCTGAAGACTGAAACTTAAACTTTCCAATGAGAGTCAAAGCATTTTTGTCTGCTCAGGGTTTGGAAAGGATACGTCTGGATCAGGTTGAAATGCACATACTCTCGCACACACTCAGCGGTTTGTTCTTTGGGTAGATAGATGTATTAATGCACACGCTGGACAGACCCGAAGCTCACAGTGTTGGTAACTGAGCTCAGATGGTAATACTGCAAACTGCTGAGTCACAGACAAGCGTGCACACGCACAGCCCTTTAATTAAGACCTGAAGCCCCTTCCACACACAGAGCACTCCTTTAATCGAGCTCAGACTCTGAGCTTCTCGTCTGTGTCCTTCTTCACAGCCATGAAAAGTTCTTTTCCGAGGAAAAATGAGGAGAACAGGGTCACCACAATGGATGGAAAAACTAGCACTTGTCTGAATTGTTACTTATCCTTATTTGCTTGATTTGTTTTTTTTTATGAGACTGGATCATGTTCAGTTGTAAAGATAAATGCCAGCTTTTGTAGTTACTTTTATGAATGTCACGAGAACATGTCCTTCAGAGGTAGAACATTTTAAGATGGATTTAGGGTATAAACACAGAATGACACAGCTTTTACTGTAAATATATGTATGATACCGCATGAGATTTCTCAATGAGGTGGTGTTCTTTCATTTTAGAACTAGGTTACTAATTATTGAGGCCATATCTAATCACCAGATCACTCATAGCTCTGTTGTAAATCCTTTTATTCATTCATTATCCATACCACTTATTTCTAGCAGGGAGCTGATGTAAATACATGGTGTTTTCTACCCCAAAAAACAATATTAATCAGATATGCTTTTTGAATTAATGATCAGGTTCGACTTCTGGCTGTAAGAGTTCAAAAGTTCAACATAAGAGTCAGTAGGCAGAATGTTTTGCAAGGTTAGTGTGTGTTTTTTTCATAAATAATTATTCATGCAAATATATACAGTATGTGTAATTAGAAGGATGATTGCAATGAAGTTGCCGTGTAAAGTAGTACTTTTTTGCAGTGTTTGCTTGAAGTTTGTCTAGCCATAAACAGGGAAAATAATAGTCAACTTTTCAGTTGTCAATTTCTTAGAAAAAAATAGTGGTGGTTTACAGACATGAAAAGAAGCCTGACGTCATTAGCTTCAGCTGATAATTATTGTCTCTATATGATTGTGGTTATACTGTTGTGTTTGAAATATTTTCAGTGATTACAAAGGGTTCATTATGACCTCACTGACTGTATTGATAATGGGTTCAATGGGAAGTCACTCTGAGAACCACTAGGTACCTTCACAGTGGAAAATAAAATCCAGTGGTGCACCTGAGGATGCTATGGCCTACTTACAGTTGAAAAGACAAAGAGGATCATAAAGGTGGCTTTTTAAACTCAAAAGTCAAGATTATATGAGAAGATGATAGAGCTGTGCAGGTTTAATTGGGTTGTGGAGTTCATTTGAGAAGAGGTTGTTGAGAAGGACAGGCAATAAGCCTTCCTCCTCCCTCCTCCTCCTCCTCCTCCTCCCTCTCCTCATTCAGTTAGGGGTTTATAAATGAGAAAAACTCCGTTTGGTTCCAACAAGCGCTCAGATAAAGTTCTGAGTTGTCGATAAGGGTCAGAGGGATGCAGCAGACACGCCCGGGGATGCTGGCACTGCCACTCCGCTTTGCAGGACAGGGCACATCTTAGAAGTCGCTTTAAATTCGACCAACGACTTTTTGCGCTTTAATTGCTGATCATTCGTCTTGCTTTACCGCTCAAATTTGAAGTAGAACAAGTTTGAGGGTTTGGTGACATCTGGTTCTACAGAGACCCACCTCCTCAGTGCGCCCCTGCTCCGCCGCCATGCGCGCCCCGTCCCCGGCGTGGCTGTGCCTGATGCTCGGCCTCCTGTGTCTGGAGGTCCGGTCCGGGGAAATAACGCTCAAGAGAGCTCACCGAAACAGGTAAACCCTGCTCCTCCGAACACCAGCTATCAAACCTTTAACCTTTTTCCATGTATTTTTTTTTCTTCTTCTTTCATCACGAGTTACTTTCTGATCATACAGCAGATATTTCTTTATTTCGTTGTCTAATTCACCTTGTGTATTTGACAATGACAATAAAGGAAGTCTATGTCTATGTCTGTTACCACGGTCTTCATTCACTGACTATTTTGCATAATTCTAAGTAGGAGCTGTTTTCATGACATTGATCCTGACTTGGGGATCAATAAAGTATCTATCTATCTATCTATCTATCTATCTATCTATCTATCTATCTAT